CTACGGAAGCAGGTCCTCGTCGTCGTCACCGCGGCCTGGCACGTCCTCTGCTTCGATCATAACCTTGGACTCATGTGGGAGGCCGACGCCGAGGGCGCCCCGCGCCGTGCGCGCGCGCGCCTGCACGAGGTCGCGGTGGTCGTGTCGCCGCGCCGCGTGCGCGCGTCTGACCGCGGGCTGGTGGTCGTGGGCGGTGACGTGGCGCTGTCGGGGCTCGCGGCGGAGGCGGAGGGGCTGGAGGAGGCCGCGGCGGCCGGCAAGGGGCGCGCGGGGGGCGTCCTGGAGGGCGTGCTGCAGGACGAGCTGCGGTGGGAAGCCGAGCAGGCGGGCGGCGCCGGCGCGGGCGCCGGCGTGGGCGCGGGCGAGGGCGGCGCCAAGGGCGGCGCCGCCGCCGCGCTGGTCGCGGGGTCGGGCGCGGACGTCAGCCGCCACTTCGACTACTTTGCGTTTGAGGGCGCGGCCGGCGAGCCGCGGTGGAGCCACCGCGCGGGGGCGTTCCACGGGGAGGAGGTGGCGGCGGCCAGCGAGGCGCTGACGCCGCAGCACAGCTTCAAGCTGGACGCCGAGAAGCTGGCGGCGCGGCACTATGGGGAGCTGTCGTGCCGCGAGTTCCGGGAGAGCGTGCTGCACGCGCTGCCCCACCAGTGGGAGCGCCCCGCGGACACGCGGCTGGAGGAGGCTGCGTTCTTCAGGCACAGGGAGGGGGTGGGCGCGCAGAAGGGCCAGCTGGCGCGCGCGGCGGCGGCGCGCGCGGCGAGCAAGGGTGAGAGTCCGGGGAGTTCCTTTGTGGGGGCGCGTCGGCGGGGCGAGGAGAGGGCCGAGGACGAGAGCGCTGCTGGGAGCGCTTCACCTTGGCGTTGCGTCTGTCTTCTGCTCCTCGATTTGGGATTTAGCGCGCAGCCTCATCCTAGCCAAAAGTCTTCACCTGCAATCGACACCCCCTTGACCCCTGCATGCACCCACCGCTGCCACTACTACCCCCCAGGCCGCGGCGCGTCTGGCAAGGCGGGGCCCCACTCCAACTGGCTCCTCGGCTCCCACCGCCGCCACAAGGGCCGCCCCTCCGCCCGCGCCGCCGCGCGCGCCGCCGAGCCCGGCGGCGCCGCGGCGCGGCACGCGCACATGGGCGCCAACGCCAGCGTGCCCAACGCCATCGTGGCTCACCTGCAGCAGGGCATCGAGGTGGTGCACCTCTACACAGGTGGGCGGGCGGTTGAAAGGCAATTTGAAACGGGTTGCTGGGATCGGCTTGTTGGACCACCCTTGAACAGGGTGGTTACAACGTGTGTTCACAATGACCTAATTTGGAACGGTGTGCGGGGTTCAGGTTTGAGGTTGTAACGCCTAGCTCGTCAGGTTGACTGTATTGCTGCTGGCTGGCTGGACCGCGGGAGCGGCGCGCGCACACCACCTGTGCCGCACACCTTTCCCCCTCCCAACACCACCTGCGCTCGTACGCATGCTTACATTAAAGCAAGTCGCACTCCACGCTCCACCCACGCAACCGACAACCAACAACCGTCAACCGCCAACCGCCAGGCCGCGCCCTGTGTGAGCTGCACCTGGCGCAGGACCAGCTGCATGTCGACGTCAACGGCGACGGCGTCATAGACCACATCGCCCTCTCCGCCGGCGGCCGCGGCGCCTCCGACTCCGACGCCCCGCTGCTGCAGCACGTGCAGACGTCCCGCCACGCGGCGCTCGGCGCCTGCCAGGCGCGCGCGACGAGCGGCGTGCCGCCGAACGAGGAGCTGTGGGTTGCAGACGTGTGCGCACGGCGCCGCGCGGTCGACGAGGCGATGCTGCCCATGCGCGGCGAGGAGGCCGGCGGGTTCGTCAACGCGCACGGGCCGGGCGCGGCGGGGCTGACGTTCGCGCCGCCCGCGTTCATGCCGGTGCCGCGGGCGGACGGCAGCTACAGCCACCTGCGGGGGCAGCACGGCATCATCGGGGTCCTGTCCAGCGACGGCGTGGTGACCGCCATCAGCAGCCACGGCGCGCGGCTCTGGCAGGTGCGAGCGCGCAGATTGTTGACTTTGCTGGATGGCTGCTGCGGCAGCATGTGCGGGTGGGGTCAAAGGGGGCTCCGCCTGCCGCCGCTGGGACGTTGTGACTTACCCTGCGTTTGCAGGCGCCAATGGCTGCTGGCGTAAGCGTGCTTGCTTTTTCAACTCCAGTTTCTCTGGGCTGCACGCGTCACTTCTGCTGCCCTTTATTTTGACAGCCAGGTGGCGATCCGCCTGCTCCCCAGCGAACCCACCTCACTGCCTGCACTCCTGCAACTCCTTCCCCCACAGCGCTTCATGGATGTGGCCTGGGATGAGGACCTCAACCCGGACTTCGTCCCTTCCCTCACGCCCCTCACCCTCCGCCGCCACGGCGTCCCTGCTGCCCTGCTGGCCGTCGGCGCCGACGCCGCCGCCGCCGTCAGCGAGCACGGCACCGAGCTGGCGCGGCTGTCGCTGCCGTCGCCGCCGCTGGGGCCGCCTGTCGTGGCGGACTTTGATGGGGACGGGCTGAGCGACCTGCTGTTTGTAACCCCCGCTGGGCTGTTTGGCTACACCCAGGTCCAGCACCTGTGAGTGTCTGCTGCTGCTGCTGCTGCTGCTGCTGCTGCTGCTGCTGCTGCTGCTGCTGCTGTTCATGGGGGGTGCGGGGGGCGTGTGAGGCGCAACGTCTCCCTGGCCATGCGGCATGCTGCGCGCGCTCGAGTCGTGGGAGCTGCCAGGGCGGCCGCCTTCCCTGCGCCCCTCGAGCGTCCTGTTGCTCTGGCTGCTCACCCACACATCCGCGCATCCCGCCGCCAGCAGCCCACTCTGAATTCTCTGAACGTATTCACCACACCCTGAACCCCAACCTCCACCCCCCCCCCCCCAAATAGGGGCGGGCTGAACCTGGGAGCGCTGCTGCTGGCGCTTATCGTGGCAATGGGCGTCGTGTGGTGGGGGCAGGCCCAGAATGACCCTCTAGGGGGCGCGCGCGCCCGCAAGCTGAGAAGCACCGACGTTGACTGACGACCTCACACTTTGGTCCCATAGGCCGCAGCCCTTGCAGCAGACCTTGTTGAAGCGGCAACGCCGGCCGCTGCACAGACGTGTAAGCATTCGCTGAGGAGAGTTTGGCCGAGGCAGCGCGCACAGGCAAGCCGCAATGCCCGTTCACACGAGCGGTTGTGGATGTCGGTTCGAAAATGAGGCGGACGGGTAGCAGTGGCTGAGCGACGCGGGCTGCCAGTCCCAGGCTGGGTGGGACTCTCGGGGCATCATGTCCTTCACATGTTGCTTGAGGTGTTGACCCCACGCGGGACAGAAGCTCGCCGCTCTCTTGGCCGACGGACACGCCCGTGCCAACGCTGAGTACATCCGTGCGCACATGACATGCCCCGTGTGCAGTGCGGCTGAAGAGCCGCTGGGTGGCAGCACCAGCATGCCCATCCTCCACAGCAGCTGCCGGTTATGAGGGCGGCTGGGCGTTGGATAGGGTGCCGTGTGCAATCCGCATCAGCGCAGCTGCACTGCGGGTGCGGCTGCAGACTGGGCACCCAGTTCTTTGGCCAGGAGCGCGTCAAGCGCACTGTGAGAGCCCATACACCTCGGCCACGCCCATTTGAGACGCGAGTATGAGACCCTAGGGCAGGCGCACAAAAACGCAAAAAGTAAGGCTGCGCCAGCAGAAGCGCGGCAGCCAGCTCACAATGAACGTGTCCCCTTCCTGAGTGTCCTTGCGCGCCAGAGTTGTTGTTACGACTGCATCGAGCCTGTCAAGGGGCGGGCGCCAGTCACTCTGCAAACACATCGTCAAGCCAACGCTCAATGTCCGCATCGCTCGGGCCCTGGCCCGCCTCCGCCACCGCCGCCGCCGCTCCCTCCCCGGGGCCGCTGCGCTCCCGATGCCAGCCGCCGCTGCCCGGCCCCCGCTGCCTGCCCCTGCTCCTGCTCCTGCTGCGGCTCCTGCTCCTGCCACGCTGCTGCTTGCCTCCGCTGCCACCACCACCACCTCTCCTCTCTTCGTCGTCGTCATCGCTGCCCCTGTGCTTCTTACTATGCCGCCGCTTTCGCCGCCGTCGCCGGTCCCCCTCGCTCCCGCCGCCCTCGCTCCCGCTGCCGTCGCCGTCGCCGCCGCTCCGCCGCCCCCGCCGTCGCCCCTTGCTGCGGCTCCTGCTGCGGCTGCGGCCCCGCCGACCGTCGCCGCCTCCGCCGCCGCCCTTTGGTCGGTACCGCGCCTCGCTGCTCCTGCCATAATTCAGCTTCGCGGCGCAGTCCGGGCAGCAGCGCACCTTCACCAGCGCCGCCTTGGCCTCCCCCGCCTCCTGGTAGCGGAACAGCAGCTCGAAGCTGGCGAGGCCCTCTCGGGCGCCGCAGCCGCGCGCGCCGCAGACGAACTGGCCCTTGCCCGACGCGACCTCGGCCTCGGTGCGCCACCGCAGGCCGACCTTCTGCTCTCGGTACCTGGCAGGTGCACGTGTGCGGCGGTGACTGTGCTGCACACAACAGGTGATCAGGCCGGGCAAAACGTCGCTCGAGCATCGCGGGACGGCTAAGCACACGCTTGCGACGAGCGACGGCCGCCACTGCGAGCCGTTTTTGCTGCCTTTGTTCCTTCGCCTCGATGGCCGCGCGGGTGCTTTGCCACCCGATTGTCAAACGCCGCTGCCGGAAATCGGGGTGCTATGCGTGCGCGCGCGCGCACCTGGAGAGGTCTATGATGGCGTACTCCCGGAACAGGCGGCCGTAGTAGCGCCGCGCCAGCCGCACCTCCCAGCTGTCCCGCGCGTCGTCCTCGGGGCGCCGGATGAAGCGGTATGACTGCGGGACGGCGCGGCCGGTTGCTCAGGATTTCGATGGAGGGTGCTGAGAGGCTCCGGTGCAACGATCGCGGGTTGCATGGGGCTGCATGAAGGTCGCATGGTGGCATGCGAGCGGTGTGCTGCGGCCGCATAGCGGGCCGCCAGCCTTACGCTGGACGCTTCGGGAATTCATGAGCGGCCGGCCCCGCCCCACCTGCCGCAGCACGTCTGCGTCTGTGCGGATGCCGGCAAGTGCTGCCGCGGGGTCGTCGGCCCCGCCCTGCTCCTGGCCGCCCGCGCCGTCATACGCGCCCAGCTGACGCAGCAGACGCTGGTGACGCTCAAACGCGGTGAGGCCCGCGAACGTGGAGCGCCAGTGCTCCGACCGCGCGCTGCGGTCGTATGCGTCGCGCCGCGCCTGGCCAAAGCCGGCCATGGGCAGCGCCCGGTTGCTGTGCTGGCAGCTGTTGCCGGTGGGCGCCGATGCGGGCAGAGCGCAATCGCGACAAGGGGGAAGGTCGGCGCCACAAATCCGTGCAGCGATCAATGCAAGCCGTCTATGTAATGCTTTCAAAGGATAATGTCGAGGTTGGAAGCGGACGGGCGTTGCTTGGCTAGGGGATAGGCTTCCAGATCAGTGACTCGGCACACGGTAAGGCCTCCATTCAATTGGACAGCAGTCGCAATGAGACATTTCAAGCATTGAAATCTTTCGCGAAGAAGCTTTGTCGTTCTCTCATCCAAAACATCGCCCATCCGGAACCGCCACCTCATCACCATCGCGGGCACCACGCCATGCATGCTTGTAGGCAGCTAGCACCAATGAGAGGCGCCCGATTGGCGAGCCTGCCTCGCCGGGCTCTGGGGGTGCGACCGCTCGTCGCCGCTGCTGCCCGTGTGCCGCGCACCGTCCCCATCGCCAGAGCGCGGCTCGCATGGGACCAAGACGCCCAGGCAGACTACGCCGCCGCGCAGAGGAGGGCCACGCTCTCGCGCGCCATACAGGGCGCCAGGTGCGGCGCGAAAACGCCGGCGCATGCATGTCCCATCTTTGCCGCCTGTCATCCTTGTGTGGTGTGTGTCGCAAATCGCGCGGCGCTGTCCCTCCCCTTTCCCGGCCATCCCTCGGCCTGGAACCCTGGCAACACAGCACCCACAACACGCACACAATTCAACTCTCGTTTGCGTTGCCAAGGGACTGGCGCCAGATCCTGTCGCTGGTCAACCGCCACGGGGACGAGCTGGAAGACCAGCAGGCGGCCGCGGCGCTCGGCCGCCTGGGGCAGCTGCTCGAGCGGCAGCCGCTGGACGCCTACGAGGTGCGCGCGCATGCCTCGGCCCGGGGGCGTCGGGGCCTCGCGGCATGCTGCGGGCCGCGGGTAATCACAACGCCTTGGGCTGTGCGCCCCAGTGGACTCCGCCACATGACCTCCCCATGCCGTTGGGAGGCGCGGCCAGTGCCTGCTATCCCAATCCTGGTGTTTGGTCCAGAAATGTAGGCCTTGTGGACACTACGCTCGTCACACCTGCTGCACCACCGCCGTGTGTCTGAGAAAAATTGGCCCCGTGCCAACCGCCGGGGCTGCCCTCTGGTGGCCCCCCCAGGTCCGCCAGGCGCAGGCGCTCTACGACTGGCTGACGCGGCGCGTGCAGGAGGCGCGGGCGCGCGAGGCGCTGCGGGCGCAGGCGGAGGAGCGGGAGGCCGTGCAGGAGGCACGGCGGCGGCAACAGCAGCGGCAGCAGCAGCAGCAGCAGGTGAGGCCCCAGGGCGCCTGGGTCCCTGCTTGGTTGCGTGGACCGCAATCCTGCACAGTGTGTACACAACTGCGCCACAGCCACAAGGTCACCAGCTTGCATCCCAGCAAACCATGAGCACTTACCACGCAAGCATTTCCCACCCCCTCCCCGCTGCAGGTGCAGCTGCAGCAGGCTGCCGCCGCAGCCCAGCAGCAGCAACGGCAACGAGAGCAGCAGCAGCAACTGCAACTGCAGCAGCAGCAGCAGCAGCTCCTGCAGCAGCTCCAGCGCCAGCAGCAGCGCCAGCAGGGTCAATCCCCGCAGCAGCTGCAGCAGGACGCCGCCGACGACCGCCTCCGCGCCGCCCTCGCCGCCGGCGGCGCGCCGCGCGGGCCGCAGGCCGCGGCGCAGGTGGACGCATTCCTGACGCGCGAGGTTCGCCGCGCGGCGTCGCGCGCGCAGGCCGGCGGCGGCGCCGGCGGGGCCGGGGACGGGGCCGGGCAGGCCGTCGTGCGGTGTGTTCAGCGGTACGCGTCGCTGATGTCGCTGCATCATGTGGCGTTGGCAGCCGAGCTGCTCGCTGACCTCTATGCGCGCAGCAGCAGCGGCGGCAGCAGCAGCAGCAGCGGCGGCGGCCGCGCCCCCGAGCTGGAAAGCGCCGCTGCGTCCCTGTTTGGCGTTGCGCATCAGATGGTGGCGCGGGCAGGAGCCGGCGGCGTGTCGGCGATGGTGGGGGCGATGGCTGAGCTGGGGCTGTACGATGAGCAGCTGCTGGGCTCCCTCCTGGCACGCGCGGCGCAGCTGCTGGGAAGCTTCTCCGCCGAGCAGCTGAGCTGGACGCTGCACTCCCTGGCCGAGCTGCAGCTGCGGCCGCCGGCGTCGTGGCTGGCCGGCGCGGCGGAGCGCGCGCGGCGGCTGCTGCCGGGGACGGGCCTCCCAGATCTGGAGCGCACGGCCACCGCGCTGGCGATCATGCG